CAGGGTGACAAAACCAGAAGTCTCTGGTGGCGAGCATGGCTTCATCACATTCAAGCGCTGTACGACATTCCTGTCCATTATATGCTGGAGCAATGGGCCATGATAGAAGGTCCCACGCGGGCAGATGGTTTTGAGCCTGTCCCAAAACAGGCGTTGCCTACGCGCTTGCTGGATAGGGTCAACATTCTCGTACCCGAAAGGAAGTACCATGTTGGCTGCTGTTGCCGCTTCCGCTGCTTGCAATGCTATGGCAACAATGGCTGCAGGGATTAGACAGGACCCTTGTTGCTCATGCCATTGTTGCAGGAGGTCTGGATAACCACTTTGCTCGTAGAGCTGGTGGAGTTCACCTTTGCTGAGGTGTATCAACACTTGCCCTTTGCCTAGCAATTTGTACAATCGCTTTAAGGGAGAGATCCTTTTGAAGTGGCAGGAGTGGCTACGCCACCAACTCCTCACAATGGCGCGACAATGCTGTGAGAGGGATGCAGAATCAGGTCGCGTTTCTTGTGCAAGGGATACTCGTCGTTTCAAGGTGTGCAATGCTCCTTGCCTAGAGAGACTCTGCTCATCATTCACAGTAGCAGTGGGGTCAAGAAAGACCTGTGTGGGAATGGTCTGGTGCTTCTCTGAGAGTGGGTGAGGACGCAGCCCCGGCTTCATTTTGAGTCGTAGCGTGACTTCTTTGTGATGGCAAGTGTCAATCCGATATCTTCCATGCAGTCGCGCGAAAAGCCGCGTGGTGTCCAAGGAGAGACTTGGAACAAGGAACTTGTCAAGTGGTGATTCCTGATCCTGATAGCGGTAGGTGGGGAAATCCGGGTCAACGTCCGTTAAACCAGATTGTGCCAGGAATTCATCCCATGTCTGGAGGTGGTGTTGATCACGACGATTGAAATCGCCCCCAACAAAGACAGGATCATCTTCTAGGGACATGACAGAGTCAAGGATGTGCCTAGTGAAAGCTTTAGTGCTTTGCGGTGGTATATAAACAGAGACAATCCACACTGTGCATGCTTGATACACGACACAGGCAGCAATGGAATAGTGCTTGACAAGAATTCTCTCTTTACCGACTACCCACCCAGGGGGAAATAGTATGGCTACACCTGCCTGCGCTCCAGGGTCGACCTTGGCTTCAGTAGCTACTACGCGTATATCGGGCCAAGAGTGGAGTAAGTGCTGCATTTGGGTCTGATCCCACTTAGTTTCTTGGAGCAGTACAGGGGCCGACCTGAGGAGTGCACGAATGATCCATGATTTGTAGGTGTTCGAAGGGGGTTCCGGAGACCAGCTGATAGGGTTCCAAGAGTGAATGCTTTTCAGCGAAGCGGGCAAATTGCTGGGACGCTGCGTTCTGAAATCTAGGATGCTCCTGCATAGTCGTCAAAATTGGACAGGCACAACACGGAGAGAGTGGAGCTCATTTGATTTGATAGGGGACAAAGTATGTCCTTCCTCTGCATCTGTCGGGGCAATGCAGCTTGTATATCTGCCAATGCACGAACGGAGTGTGTGCATTGCTTCTGAGAGGTTGACGTCAGTATCAAAACCACATAGACTCAGAAGGTCATGTATGTGTATACGTCGATAAGCCAGTTTTGGATGAAGTGGATAAGGAAGTGGAGTGAGGATACATGAGTAAGTGTTTTGCCACACTGTTGCTTTGTGTAATGCCAATTGACAGCACACAGGCCAGTGGAGATGGTACGTTGCACTAAGCGGAGAGACCTTAATGTTATTTTGCACAGATAAGTCATGCGCGAATAAGCGCCTGAGCTGTACAAAAAAATGATCGTGCGGCCTCTCCTTTTATGCAAACGTACCAACCATTGGAGATGTTTGTTTGGCAACATGCATCAATGCATGCTTCAACATGGAGCTGCTCAGCAGCATGAATGACAGTGGCTTCTGACGGGAGTAGTTGTGTTTGATAGTGATGATCACTGGACAGCGTAGCTATCCATTCAAAACCAGAAGTATTAGTGATAGTGCTCTGAAAGATAAGTAAGACACAAGATTCTGGTGGACCTTCAGCCTGCCAGATAGAAGCTTGTGTCACCGGATAGACTGCCTTTGCGCTCGAGGGACAGATGCTAAGGCATCCGCCCTCGAGATGGCCGCCAATGGTGATGATAGGCAGGTTACCAAGAGTTAGGTGACAGATATTAGTCACAGGCTCTTTACTGAAGGTACCTGCTGAGGCTATAGCCTCCAGAGCGCGCAACCAGGTTCAACTAAACCATAGAAGCATGGCATCTCTGTGACTATACAAATTGGACCCTGCTGTAAAGCAATTGCGCACAGACATGATGCAGTCGCAGTGGCAATAGCATTACGATAACCAAACATGGCTTTGCATGTGGGATTGTGTTCCGCAGGCTGTCGAATACTGACTGCATCGCCACCATATTTGAAGAGCATGACCTCCAGCGAATCGTGTAGCCGAAGAAGGTATATGTGCTCAACTCTCTGAGGACCAATGTAGCGAACATGAAGAGGCTGATAGACAGTCCAGATCACTACAAAGCCAGTTAGGCCATCCTTGGTGGACACGCAACGAAGGAAAAGCACCAGCCGAAGGTAGGGCGCATATTGTATGAGGCCTTTTTTGTAGGTGTCTAAGAGAGGAGTAGGGTTGGCAGTCGATCCCAGGAGACGATCCCGAGTGCAAGTTCAAACCGCAAGAGCAGCTGCAACAGCTACGGGTTTGCAATCCAATCTCGGACAAGAAATCAAGGTCATCAAGACTGACATCGCCTGACATTGACTGATGTAAGAACATTTTTGGTTACTGGTAGTCCGCCGACGTTTAGGCAGACTGCCTTGAAAAAACATGGGTTTTGGAAAACCAAGACCCAACCCAAGACCAAGGCCCAAACTACCTTTGTCCATGGGCCTTGGTAATGCCAAACACCACAGACAACTACCTCTGGCTCTTCCCTTGGCTCAAACCCCTTTCAGCCTGGGACCTGTGGGACCTTCATCCCTTTCAACCTGAGACCTGTGGAGCCTTCATCCCTTTCACCCTGGGACCTGTGGCGCCTTCGCAAGGTGAAACTTTATAAGGAGCTGTGGGACCTGTGGGACCTCCAGGCAGGCAAGGCCAAACACATACTGCCGCTGATCAAGAAGTGAGCAGTTTCCCAAGCCTGCTCCAAAACTTTTGCGTGGTCCTTGACATTGTCTGCTCAGGACCAATCTTGCCAAGGCCCACATTTGAGCTTTGCCAAGGACAACTTTTGAGTGGGCCTTGGTGAGCGTGTTCAGAACATAAGTATTCCTTAGGCCTGCTAGCCTCATCCTCAACTGCTGTTTCCAACATTCTTTTTCGCATGCTTGCGAAACACAGACACACACTTGGACATAACAAATATAAGGCAGCATATATATATATATATATATGTGCACATATGTCAACATAGAAATGTGGGTGATTCACCCACATTTCTATGCGCGCATATGGAAGCCACAACTGACACGTTTCATTCTTCAGCCTTTCATTCAGCATGGTCATAAGCCACCGACATCAAGAATGCTTAACCATGACATTGGCTTCATTAGCTTCAACTTGCTGCGCCAAAGAGCTGAAGGCAAAAACAAACTGGGTAAAATAGGATGGAAAATGGGTAAATGTGCGCGCTCGGCTTGGGTGCTGGTGCCGTTGGGGGCTCGGGTGATGGTGTCGCTGCAGGGTTGCTGCTGTGCTGCAGGGTGCCGCTGCTGTGTGCACTTTGGAGCTTGGGCGTGTGGACATGTGCGTTTTGGTGCTGCTGCTGCTGCTGCTTCTGCTGCCGGATGTATGGCTCGGTGCGCTGCTGTGAGCTTTGTTCTGGCACCGCTGGCCCCTGCGGAGTGCGGCTGGAGGCAGAAATCCCTTTGCTATCTGGGGCCGGTGCTGGCGCAGCTGACGCTTGACACGCATTTCGCGCGAAAGGGCTGCTGCCGACTCACAAAAATTGTAACATGCCTGCAGTTTTTGGCACTTGACACGCGCTTCGTGTGAGCACCAGCAGCAGGTTGCCGCGGACTCACCGAAACTCTGATTTTGACACTTGGGACGCGCTTCCTGCAAAGTTTTTCTCTGTTTGTAATACTTGACACGCATTTCGTGCGAAAGGGGTGCATTTCGCGGCGCCTCGTCGGCGCTGCCCCCGGCCTAAGAGAAAAGAGCAGGAGAGAGAGAAGACAGAGAATGATAGAGAGAGAGAGAGAGAAGCGAGAGAGAATGAGGGAGAGAGAAAGAGAGTGGTATGAAGATGTGACGATGTGCGTCTGAATGTGTGCAGGTGTGAAGATGTGCAGATGTGAAGACGCGCGCGTCTGGATCTGTGAAGGCGTGAAAATGTGATGATGATGATGATGATGATGATGATGATATGTAATGTAATCCTCATGCGGTGCTGTGTTCGCTTTGGAGCTTGGGCGCTGGCGCCGCTTCCAGATGTGTGGCCGCGTGCGCTTTGGAGTTGGGTGCTGGTGCCGCTGCAGGGTGTTGCTGCTGTGTGCACTTGCTTTTCGCGTCGTGTAAGTGTTTCTGTGGGTTCATGTGATTTTTTCAGGAGCGTTATGATACGCGATGAAAAGGCAGCGACAGCTTGAACGCAATGATTCCAATGCTATCTGGGGTCTATGCTGGTGCAATTTTAAGAAGAACTTTTCGTCCCGGGAAAAAAGTCAAGGTTGTGACATCAACCCCTAGAGGTGCGTCGGAGTGCCTGGGGACATGCTGACCTGTGGACGGGATTTGATCAAGCGACGGAGTTTTTCTAAATCACAGGCACAACGGTTCCACTGCGTCATTCTGTTCGAGCGGAAAGGAGGTTGCAACACGTAATCTTGAACGCCCAATTTGTGACACTCAGCGTCTCTGGATCGCGTTCTTCTATAACTATCATTTCACCCGTTCAGCAAGCTCAGGCCGAAACGCTGCAAGACCTTGCGCAACATAGCCTCCTTGAAATCTTGCCTGCGCCAACTGCAAATGACTGCATAAGGCTGGCTTTGGAGCTTTGCTTTCATCAACACAACAGGATTTGCTTAACAGTGAGGATTGGTCTGTGGATACCTCTGGTCACGATACACTGCGGGCTGCTGCTCTTTCCCGTCCTGGCTGCGTAATGCCAATGGTCTGCTCGCGCCAGTGCATGGGCCGATCAAACTTTACAAAGCGTGCGTCAACTTGCCCTTGCCGGCATTGACACGCGCTGGACTTGCAGGGTGTGAATTCCACTTTACAAAGGCGTCAGCTTGATGATGCCATTTGGCTTTGGCGGCAAAAACCGCGAAACTCCAATCCTACCGTAATTCTGGCGGCGTGACGTCAAGTGGCGCGTAGACATGGGTTATTGCCTTGACAACTGGATCTTTGTTTTCCTCAGCCGTCCATTCAAACTTCACCTTCATGGATTTGAGGCTTGTGACGTGGATACCATAAGAACCTTCGCCCAGATCTACCTTTGAGTAGTGGAGAATCTTTTGAACATCTCCTTTCATCGCGGGTCCGTCTGGCCCCTCTCCGTCTGCCCACACATATAGATCATATGTGCCTTTGGTGTCTGTTGGTCTTCGCCCATATTTCTCCCATGTTTTTTTCACGTTCCTGACGCCCTTTTGGTACATGGCTTTGAAAAGGTCCACATCCTGATGCGTGTTTGTGGTTGGGTGCTTAACCGCAACTGTGTTTGCTGTGAACGCTGGGCTTAGCATTCTCCTCTTGCTCACTTCCAGAGCATCCTCCACAGTGTCTGCCACGTGGTTCTCTTTGAATCGTTGAGTGTCTGGGTTGGACACAAAGTTCCTCACCCCGACCTCCTCCGTGCAATCGTCCATAGAAGATCGGCAAGATGGAGTCGGCCCGTCCCGCCTTCGCCTTGACCTCCGTCTTCGACTGTCCTTCAAAGTCAATTGATCAACCTCGACCTCCTTCGGCGCCTTCACCTCAGACACTGGCGTGGCAGTCTTCACCTGCTCCACTGTCCTTGGTGTGAACGTTTTTGATGAAACGTTTTGTGGCGTTCAGTTGAAAAGCATCCGCAATGTAGCTCTGCTTGACGGCTCTGCAACATGAATGTTGGGATGAAAAACATTTGAAACATGAAGCGAGATCAAAGGGAGAGGGGGAACAAGGTTCTGGCTTCACACTTTCATGCTGTCAAAGACCATAAACCCGACACAGTTCGCATTTGTGCCTACGTGCGTTTTCGTTCAAATTCTTCGCCAGGCAGCTTTGGATCCGACTTGCCTGGACCACGCAAATGAAACTGTGATACGTTCTTGGTCTTCAGCCCTACGGTGGTGTTCATCAGCGTCGCATTCCCCAAAGTAGCCGTCCTGCACATGAAGGTGGTGGGTCATATAGCATGCTGAACAACTAGCCAGGCACCGCAGCATAACCTTGCCGGTGCTGAGCTTCCAGCCGGCTTTCGGGCCGAGCTTCTTGCCGAAATTGTTGAGCTTGGTTATGGCCATCTGCGGGGCCTCTTTGGGCTTTGCAACGCAGGAATGCTTTTGCGACGTTAAAAGGTGAAGATAACAAAGGACAACAAGAAGAGCACGACAATTTTCATTGCAATAAGCCATTCTGGCATTTTGAAGAATGGCGCCTCTGGTCTTCGCAGCCGAAATATTTCCCGCATCAATCCTAGCAAATGGACAAAAAGAAAAGGCTTGCGCTCCACAGTGCCCGGACTAAGGCGTATGGTTTGGAAACCAAGCGCAGGAGCGTGTGCAAATTAAGCACATGGTGGAAATGAGGCAGTCTTGACTACCGGGATTTCCATCTATCCGGGGGTCAAATACTACGTTTGTGTTGAATGACCGCGCAAGAGTTTTGCCAGGCATCTCTGCACGGGTCGCCGCCAGAAGAGCTGCTGCCGCTATGTATCGCCACATCGAGAATGGGAGGTTCACGGCGCGGTTAAAACAACAAATTTGATCCCTGAATATCGCTGATGCGTTTTCAGCTTCGTCAGATTTCGTGTAGTCTTATGATACTCCATACTCTCACTGTTCATTGCTCACAGTAAGGAGCAAACCCTGGCCTTTTCAAGTGCCACATTCTCGGTGTCCTTCGCTCGGCTGGCCTCGCAGAGTACAAGCAGGGCAAGCGGTTGAGGGGGCGCCTGAATCTGAGCGGACTCATCGCCCACTCAACTACAAGGAATTGAGGGTGCGCCGAAAAGCCGCGGTCGTAATATTACATCGTGCGCGATGACCTGAGATGAGAAAGTGTGAAATTGAACCAAATCTTGAAATAGCAAAGGCAAAGCTTGGCGCACATGTGCACCCAGCCTCTTGGAGAGGACCACAACGTATAACGAACGACGGGTCCCACAAAGCTTAAGTTTGACACGCAACACGTCTCCAAAAGGTGTTTGCGGGGACGGCTTCCAAGTTTAGAAGAGAGAGAGAGAGAGATAGACGGAAAAACCTCTTGCAACAAACCTGCTGTGTATACGTCACTTGGCCTGCTGCGGCATGTTGTGAGGATGGTAGATCTTGGGTGTGAATGAAAAACCAGTCTTCAGTTTGAAGATGCCGAGGGCGTTCGTTGGGAGAATCAAGAGCAATCTTTATCAGCGGTCAAAGGCGCCCTGTCGGAGGCGCCGCCATTGATACATGAAAACGCTGGGGGAGCATGGCGCCATGACATGGTTGCGCTGGGTGTAGGAACAAGAAGCTACTAGGGGCTCCTGGCATCGCTACTAGGAGCAAGGATGCGATTAGGGGCCCCTGGCCGTACTACTAGCAACAAGAAGCTACTAGCAGCAAAGGGCATGTCATTTGAAGTGCAGTTTGCGGTTGGAGCCACGAAACTTCAGGCTCAGCAGCTATTTGCGGACAGAGTCGCGGACAGAGTCCGCAAGTGTCAGTTGAAAGCAACTGCCTCATTCACATCGAAGAAGACACTGAATGAGAGACGTGAGGGAGCAAGGTAAACGTACAATCAGTCGTGGCGCATCATGCGCAGCGTTTGCAGCCCTCACGTGTCACGCGATTTGGCAATGGTGCTTTCAACCGTTCTCTCTTGAATACGCTGCGGCAACATCCATACGGGCAGCATGCGATCCATCGGAGTGGCACTTGAAAATCCATCATTACCGCCCACCTCTTGGGCTCCTGGCTACTAGGAGCTCCTGGCATCGCTACTAGGAGCATTCTTACTACTAGTAACAAGAAGCTACTAGGAACAAAGGGCATCGCTACTGGGAACAAGGCCTTTCTTCCTTTCTCCAATTTTTGTTTCTGACCGTTCCGACTCAGCGGTGCGAGGGCAGCGGCGCAGCTGGGCCCCCCACGTATGTCGACGGGTCCAAACACAAAAGCAGCAGATCATCTATGTCCTGCAGCCGTGGGAGATCGCGTGACGATGGACTGAGCCGGGGTCCCAAGGTAGTCACAGTGTTGAATTTCTCAAATGTAGAGTGTGTTTTGGGGAGTGGGTTGGACGAGTCACGTGCATCTAACAGTTACCGGCAAGTCTGTGGGTCTGGAAAAGTTATAGCATTAGTTGATAGGGCAAAGCAACAATGTACCAGGGAGTGTTGGGGCAGCACGCTTCTTCAAAATGCTTAAGTTTTACCCCATAGACCTCATTCATGCAAAGAACAATCAAATGATCTTATCCACATCCAGCCCTTAACCGCTTCAGTTTCAGCCTTTCTCCGGGTGTCCTCGTGTGAAAGATCCCGCCCCAGGACCTAGGTAGCGTTTGAGCAAGAACTCAGCACCATACGTTTTGAAAAGGTTCCATTGAGCCCTGCATAGACGAATTGATCAAGCAGGGTTGGTCCAATTAAAAGGGTCTTAACTTCTGCCAACTCGCGATGTTGAGCTGAAACCTCCCCAGGACTCCAACTACCTCCTTAGCTTTGTCTTCTTGTGCTGGGTGGCTTTGGAGCTGTCTACCTTCCGAATCTTTCTACATAAGTAGAACACCATAGATCATGACATCTTCCACCTGCTCTGCATCCATGTTTGCTGAAGAGTAACTAGCTTGAAAACCTCACCAGCTTGGAGCGGCAAACATTTGGAGAAAGTCCCAGCCGGAAGACTTGCCAGTTGCGCTTCACTTAGTTAGGCCGTTCTCAGCTTTCACACACACTCTGTCGATGAACATGTGCAATTAATGACTAAGTGGGCCACCCCAAACCATGAGAACCCTCGAGCACAAGCTGTGCAACTGTGCCTTGATCACCACTTAGAAAGTTCTTCTTCCGCTTCTTCGACAATCTGTTTTCCCTCCGACTTCCCTACCCAAACTGAACCACTTGGGATTGTGAATTTCAATGTCTCAATCACCAACTGCTGAGAGCTCTGACATCGCCACAAACCATCTTGAATTGGTCCTGGAAGAAGCATGTCACACACAACTGGTCTTCTCAAGCCAAGCACTTCTCAAGCAATCAACACATACATGGCAATTTTTTCTGTTGGCAATACAGACAACGCAGGGACGTGTATAGATTCAAACGGGCCCACACCTTTCAAACAAGGCATAATCCATCAAAACCTGGATTTCCAGATTTCATCCACTCCAATCATCATCAGGTTGGACCACATGGCTTTCTCGGAATCATAGTCGGCATCGTGTGTGACCCTCCAGGGAGCCATGTGGGTCTAAAGGACTGACCATCCCATCATATCCCATCATGTCGCATCTCTCAATATGTGTCAATGTTGCATTGCTTTCTTCCACCTCGTAAAGCCCGACTGGAGTAGTGAATATAATCAGTTCCAACCGGTCATATTGATGTCACAAAGAGTCGAGCCACACCCACTTGACCCCAACAACATTTTGCCAACTCTCATGGGTTGACCCGTCCAAACGCATTTGTCCACGCATCATGACACGAATACCGCGGCTCGGACGGTCCGGGGTCAGCATGTTGCTACGCCAGACCTGGCCAGGTCTGACCGAACAGCTTTTCATGGTGAGGAGGCTTCATCAAGGGCCCCTGGAGCAACTGAGCAAGCTTGTTTCCACCAGGGGTAGTTCATGCCAATGCAATGTTGAAAAACAAAGCAAATTGAACAATCACTCCGAGATCTACCTGCAAATGTTTGACACTATTCACACTGAGAGAAGGAATCATCTTCTATTGCTTTGCATTTCTGTATTTTTTGGGCCACAACGGGCTCGTGCTCCTGCGGCCGTAGACCCGCCAGTCAAAAGTAGGCGCATGTGAGAAAAGGCAGCACTTTCTTGCCTCAATAACATGAAACAAACCACATCGTTGAGCTGTGTTTTCCTGTGAACGTGTGAAAACATGGATCTGGGGGGGCTGTGCATTTCGGAACGAAATGCAGAACTTCCATGGACCAAGATTGAGACTGCCACAATGTGGTGGGATATCACCACATACCCCGAGGTACGCCAACTGTCCCAAAGAACTTCATGATATGGTGGTTCAAATTGATGGACTATATGTAGAAATCCAGGTCTGACACCAAACGTTTGGTCCAAGAAGTCTGACCAAACGTAGGAAGCCTGCCCTTGCGCCGCACCTGGAAAGCCATTTGAAGCTCCTGATGTGGGTACGTACACGACCGATCTACCGATGTACCGATCTATGCTCAGGTTGATGTGGTTGAAGCGCTCATATTGGATGTCATGGAATGCGCCTCAAGCAGCACACTTGAACTAGGGTGTCCGAATGCTTCGAAGCTAATGGTGCCAATGGGCCAACCGATAACATCGACCAAACTTGAGTGTGCTACAACGAAGGCCATATGAACTCTTACAGACTAACATGGTTATTCTAAATATGAAGTAACTGCCCAAATTCTTGGGAAGGCAAACCTCTACACCACATACATCAGGAACCTTGATGGATAAATGCTACATTGCTTTCAACCAAAATGGAACGAACCTCTTCACTTTCATATGGGGATCGACATGGATCATGGATCCAACATAATCCAACAAACACCTCTGTCTCAAACCCACCTATGCCCCCGGGTCCCTCGGAATCCCTCGGATCCCGAATTTCACCGGACTTCTTCTCCAGCGGCCTCCGGACTGAAGAAGGGGCGCTCCGTGCAAGACGCTGCTAGGGGCCCCTGGCCATACTACTAGGAACAAGAAGCTATTAGGAACAAGTGCATTGCTTCTAGTAAGAAGTGCCTTACTAGTAGTAACAAGAAGCTACTAGGGGCTCCTGGCCTTACTGCTAGGAACAAGAAGCTACTAGGTTCGCGTCAGCTCCTCACGGTTCTTCTGCGCAGCCACTTTGACCCGCGACAGCCAGCCATGGTCTCCTCAGACCTGGAACAATGGGGTTTCGTGGTGTGTGGTTGGGCGCTGCAAACAGACGCCGGGACATGTAGAAATGGTATCAAGCATTTCATAGATATATTATATAAATATATGTGTATATCAGGTTGTACACATCAGTATGCATCCACATTCATATATGTATTGTATGCGGCAATGTAACTAGGGCTACGGTAATCAACACATTTGCTGATGCTCAAAGGACACACTGGGATCAACATGGAACCTGAAAATGATCGTTGAGATCCTCCTGAACATATCGAATCTCTATATGTATAAATGCAAGAATGGCGAACTCAAAAGCTGCGTCAATGCCTCAGGCCCAACAGCCCACATGAACTTCCCCATGTCTCCTCTTTAAAGGGCTATCGTACCCCAAGTTTGGACGGCAGCCCTTCACACGGGGGTGGTCCGTTTTGATGCTTTCGGAGGGTCAGTGTCCGCCCCCAGGCCAGCCTAGTGGTCTCTTCCGGCAGCATCCTCGGTGAACCAGCGCTTTGCTGCGTGTTCTTGTTCCTAGTAGTAAGGCCAGGAGCCCCTAGTAGCGAACCTTGTTACTACTAGTAAGGCACTTGTTACTAGAAGCGATGCACTTGTTCCTAGTAGCTTCTATGAAGCAAGTGTCTGCGAAAGGCATAACGAAGAAACACGTATCTGAAAGACCTCCACCGAGTGTTGCGGAACCTTAAAATCCCGCAAATGAGGAAACAACTTGATGAAAAGAAAGTCATG